GTAAAAAGAGAGTATAAGTCATTATAATCCATAATTATGTCCCTACTGGATGCAACGAATGCCTCGTTTGTAATGGGTTTTAATGTTTATGCCTCGTCGCTCCGGCTGGACACGGCATCAGCAGTATGTGAGGGGCGTAACATTTCCGTCTCATGCTTGAGGTATTCGGCCAATCACAACGCATTGGATAGCTGGCCAATCAGAGCACACCTCGCTTTTTCAGACTGATGAGCTTTGTAAAAATCGACGCGTTTCAGAAGGCGGGGCATAGAGGAGAAACAATAATGTACAGTATGTGGAAAATAATGTGTTTTTTTTACTTTAAAGCGCATAAACACATTTCATTACACCAAATACACAAAATAATGTTCTTTTTAGCAGCATCATATGACCCCTTTAAGGGACTTATCACAACCTACTTGCAGTTTTAGTGTCATATTTATTTATCCATGACAGGCCTAAACCAGCCAAGGTACCATTGTTTAATTCTCATTATCAAAAAAGAAATCCCCAAAAATATTGAGATACAATTTTTTGTTAATATCGCACACCCAGAACTAGAAACCACCCAGAACACCTTAGCAACCTCATAACAATGTTTTTAAAAAAACTCAGAACACCTTAACAACCACATAGCAATGTCCTGCACAGACACTCTGACGATCTTGTTTCAATTGACTGTTTTCAAGCTATCAGATCTCCCATCATTTCATTCTGTTCCAATTATCTTTTGATCTATATGTCCAGAATCTCTCTCCAGATGTTCAACAAGCTAGAAAACATCACATTAAAATTATTCATGTTGCATAAAAGAAGCTTTTCTCAGCACCTTTTATCCACTGAGGGTGGAACTGGAGGACCCTCATCATCAGGTTGCATACATTGAGATGTTCCTGTGATTTGAGGACCCTCTTGACAAGCTAATCAATAAACACAATTCAATGCCTTCATAAAGTCCATAATATGTACTGATTCTCTCGTAAACACTTCAGGCTGGAACTGTGGTGCTGCCATTAGCATACACTGGATCAATGAGTCTGCACCAGTGACCTTACTGCACAGATCTGATTCGCCATCAGGATAAAATGATGGACTAACGGAGCACTGAGCTGCCTGTCAATCATCAGCTGTAATATTTGAGCACTACACCTAGACCTCAAGAGCTGAACTGTTCATCAACAACAGATATCAAAACTTTCAGTCGTGATCAAGACATCACGTGAAGAGCTTTGGAGAGGTTGGTTTTGCTCTGAGCAATATGTGACATCCAGTTTTTTTGGAGTCCAGCTCATCCTTTTTGACAATTACAGTAAATGCAAATCAGAATATTTATGAAGCACTTATGTAAAGGAAAATCTTGAGCGACTGTGATGCTTCCGGGATTAGGTTGTGAAGAATATGTGAGACAGGTTCTGTCAGTCATGTAGAGAAAAGCTAATAAGGTGGTTTGTCCATCATGATCTAACATACAGCACAAAAAGAAACATATAAAACACAATGGAGAATCATATGAGAATCAGAAATGTATATTAAGTTGTTTTACCATCAACCAAGAGGAAACATTTAATCACACAGAATAGACTTTAAGGAGTTTTCTAATACAAAAATATGCATGCCCAAAAATCTTACTATCATGCTATGGTAAATGATGATATGGTATGGGAAAAAACATGGAAATACCATGATACTTTTCTGTTTTAGATACAAATGAGTGCCCATGTTTATATCATAGTATGAAGTTAAAAGGAATATGATTATAACTGATAACAGCCAACATAACAGAATTAATAAAAATATACTTATTCATACAATAATCTTTATACTATTATACTAACAACAAAGTAACATTGCATTACCTTCTATTTTGGAAAAGGTTAAATACCATAATACACATAATAATAATTTACCTTATAAATACTATGGTTTATTATGGTAATCATTTAGTACCCTGGCGCATATTAAAAAACCATGGTTTTACCAACACTGTACCATGGTACTTCCAAAGTAGTTTCGTAAGACTTGTAACATTTTTAGCTCAAATAATTTAGTTCATATAATTCTTTATTACAGCCAGATAAAATGTTATTGTACGAATTTATTAGAACTATTTCGCATTGTATTCGTGTTGAAACCTCACACTTTTCATTGCAGACTTTAGTATATGATCGCAGTTTGAGACTCTGAAATTTCTCAGTTTCTTTTTTCAGGGTAGGATTAAAATATTGAGATATTAAAGAGATCTATTGCAGACTTTGGTATATGATCGCAGTTTGAGACTCTGAAATTTCTGTTTCTTTTTTCAGGGTAGGATTAAAATATTGAGATATTAAAGAGATCTCATTCGTGATTTTTCTTTTCTCAGGTGAAAACATCATGCAGCAGCAGCAGCAGCAGCAACAACAACCTGTAGTTCTGTGTAAGAACTAGATAATCTGCTTTATTAATAAATGATGTATTGTACCTTTCTAAGCAGTTTCAACACACGGATGGCTTGTTCCACCTTCTGCTCCTTCAGCAGGGTTTGGATCTCCCGAACCCAAGCTACTCTCCGGACATATGGGCTGGGACTGGATTTGCGCAGCATTCCGGGGAGCTTGTCGGACTTGAGCATCAGTGAACTGAATAAAAACTCTCCTCTTCCTCCTCTCCTCTTCTCCACATCCCGTTCATGATGCTGTCGACCCCTCCGAAAGAAAGTCGCCTGGCTGTCCAAACTACTTTGTCTGGTCAACTTCGAGCCCATGCTTCAACTTCCCTATTTCAGTATCAAATAATACAAAGATTATTTTCATAAAGCATGAGTAAAGTAAACCTTATAAACTCTCTTTAGTGAGTGCGCGCTCATAATTACACTTCGTCGTGTTCAGTTGCTCGTGTAGAATCAAACTGATCAAGTAAAATTCAGATTGAGCGCACGAAATAATTTAAATGTCACTTTCTCCGCGTTTCTCTTGCCCCTGTGCACCTTCGCTGTGTTTGTGTTCTTCCAGGCTTCCCCACATGCCACGCCCATATCTCATTCGCTGTCCAATCAGAGCGCTCGATTTCCACATGTGTTTACAGGAGACACGGCTCCGCCCACTTTCAACAGCTCCGTGTTTATGTTGGGAAGCCCTTTCTGTCCTTTCAGCACGTAGGCTACTGTATTGGTATCGGGTTACTAAAAATTCTGTAATAGTAACCATCAATGCAACCATAAAACGAACAATTTCACAGAAATATTTCTAGTGATTCACACAAAAAAACATTGTTATTGAATGACAGTATTAAAAGATGTAAAATGGTACGTGGTTGTTCAGAAAAGATGCATTTAAATGTTTCGTTAATGCCTTAATCTGTCACAGATTAATCTTAATCTTCGCATGAAGGTGCTGAATTTAATACAGAAACTATAGGATGCATTTTCTTTTTGTTTTCTGTAGGCTATGTGTTTTAACGAAAAACCCGCTCCAAACAATTCGGCGTGTTAGTGAGACGTCCGAATGCTTCAGACTGAATCAAATCAGATCGTTTGAATCATGGTAAAGAACCGATTCAGTACAGTGATTCACTCGCGAATAGGTTAGTTGCGATTCTGAACAGTCGACAGGAAATACGAACACGCGACTAGTTGCTGTGAAAATGATTCTCGTGTCGGCCTTCATCAGTTATTAATCAGTTTTATTTAACTAAGCTTAAGTAGGCTAAAAAAAGCAGTTTGGTAAACGCATAGGCCTACTGAAATTAACCAAAGATGGCGTTTTGATTTTTACATGGTACCAACCAGGGGCGTAGCCATCATTTCAGAAGTGAGGGGGACAGAAATGCCCCCTCCGGCTTTGAGTATTTTTTTTGCGCTCTGTGATGTTCATCTCGCCTTATTCTGGGTCCGAATAAAACATCAGATCATGCACAGACTATCCTATCTCTTTGAATTTAAATCTGTATTTATTCACACCGGCTCTTGAAAACCTCTATGCGAACACACTTGCCCAAAAAAGTGCGGGGGACGAATTTACGTGATATTAAAAGTGGGGGGGACACGTCCCCCGCATCCCCCGCGTAATCTACGCCCCTGGTACCACCAGTAGGCTAGTTTAAAGAGTATGGTTAGACTTCTGTTAGCAGCAAAATGTACACAGTACAAATCATTCCTTATGTAGCTAAATCATATAACTGCCAAAAAAATAGTACAGAGACATCTAATGATTCAAAATCTAGATATTTGGATTTCTGGACATGTACCATGGTGTTTTTTTGGATATGTTCACTGGAAGTGTGTGTTGAGTAAAGGCATTGAAGAGGCGTGTTAGACCAGTAAACAGGTTAGATGTTGATTATTTGTTTTTTTTGATGTCTACATTATATGGAACATTAACTTCCCATAGTTAATCATTCACTAGAACTAGGCAAATATAATAGATTACAACTTGAACGGCTTAACCATTCAAAGATTAAATGCGTGAATACAAGTGATACAACAAAAAGCACCATGTAGCTGTGAAAAGTTTGCTAGTGTTGTTTTTTGCAGACGTCATTCTGCTGTGATTGTGGCACGGGTGGGTTTACCATCACCACTCAACCTGTGCCCTTTGCAGTGTCAATAAAACAATTATGGATGATTTCACGGTGTGATTTGGTTAAAGTTTGATGGCTATAGTTAGACATTGAGAGCCAGAGGTTCACAGCTTTGGCTCAGTCAGCCTGCGGAAAGGAGGCTCATTCTATGGGTGACTCTACAAGAGGCCTGTGAAGTTTTTAGGTAGGTGATACTCCCTATACTCAAACATCAATGTACATTAAACTCATGAGTTATGAAATTAACGGAATCATCACAAGATTATTTTCACACACAAAGCAAGGAGAAAAATATGAGAAAAAGCAGAAATGTTGTGCAGCATCCTTCCCGTTGTTGTGTCTTTTATGTTGGAACACACACTGAACTCTGAGGATTGTAATTTATGCTCTTTTGTTGCGATTTGTAGGAGGAAATAACACAATGTTTTCTGTGTGTGTGAGAAAATTCTAGTCACTTGTGTGGTGGGTTTAATTTTGTTGGCTGCAGGCACTGCAGGTTTCTCTGAGATGTTCTGCAGTTCGTTCCCACACACAGCACAGTCTGACAGGATTTAATGTGGACAGTAGCAGGGCTTTGAAATTATGAAAAGGCGCTTTTCTGAGGAGGATTTCACTTCATACAAGGCTTTTTTTATTCCAAGTTTTCAAATTATAAATGCATGAAATCTTGCTGCCTTTGGCAGGGATACATAAAGCTACATTAAGCAACATAAAATGTAGAATAAGAAAAAGCCAGGATGCATTCTGTTATTCTTTATAGTGCTCATTTTGTTCTCAAATGATACAGAATCAGGAGTTCATTTACACTGGGAACCAAAGCAAGTGTATAATGATCAAATGAGCAATACTATCATTTTAGTAGCAAAACTAGACTAGAAACAGCAGTAATGGAGAATCCTGATTAGCTACAATCTTCCTCAGAGGATTGCTAACAGCCAACTAACCGAGAACAATTTATTATGCTTTTTTTTTAATGCATATTCTTTGCAATTATGCCTTGACTATGTATTTAGCCAGAAAGTAGAAAACGTTGTAAGTGTATTCAATCTCCAGCTGTTAGATCTGCTGTTAGTATTCTGTTTTATGAATTATGTTGTGTTACATAATGGTTAGAAACGGTTGAAGGGCACCTTTAAGCACAACTTACATTGTACAATCATTGATTGCAAAAGTTAATATGACCAGGTCATGGTTATATGATAATACACAAGCCCCATTTATCTTATCTGTTAGGTACAATTAGTCCATGTTCTTTTCATTTCACTTAGCAGTTATTTGTTTAAATTCAGTAATTCATTGTGTTCAGTTTCACTTGAAGGTTCACTTGATTGTTTCAGTTTGGGCATTTCACACTGTGCTTAACCTTGGGCTATTGTTGTTCAAAACCCCACATTTAACCCCAGGTTAAACATTTGTAATTTAAAGGCGGTGGTTATGAAATCCTGCTTTTGCAGTGTTGACCACACATTTTCATGTCAAACTTGTACAGTGTGAAACAAAGCAGTGTTAATGGCTTTTTACACCTAGTTAACCCTTGGTAATTCTAAGCCCCAGGTAAAGGGAATCCTGGGTTAACTTGTGTCACGATTCCCGCTGCTCATAATTTACCTGGAGTTAACAATTAACCCTGGGTATCCATAAGCTGACATTTCACACTATATGGCTAGAACCCAGGTTATTTTTCTCATTTGCATATTTAAGGTGTCAGTGTTCAAGTTCACATACTTGTTACTCCCAAAAACAATGCTGCAGCCAGTTATTCTACTTTTGAAATGTGTGTTCCGTGTCGGAATGCGTGTTTTTGTTTTGGTCTGTGTGATTCCGCCCACTGCCAATTTACCCAATAGTAATTGAACACACTGGGTTGCCAGCTGAAAACACGGCGTATTTGCAGCCATGGAAGCCAGCAAACGAACTGGGTCAGTGATCAAATTCTACCTGACCGCCTTGGCATCCATCTAAAAAAGCTCTATGATGCCTTCCTACCTTGGAAGGCATCTGATCATGTCCGAATCCAAGACTGTTTAATTCTTACCTTTATAGTCTGAAAAGTCCATTGTTGACATTTACATAGCAAATATGCAAATAGGAACATTGACCCAGGTTTTAGGAATGTACAGTGTGAAATTAATTAAGTATATGATTACTTTCAGATAAGATGGCATAAAAACATCAACAGGCAGTCTATATACATCAGCTACAGAAAACTATACATTTGCTGTCGCATGTTGCAGGAAAATGGTGCAGAAGTCTACTGTGGTGGGCCTCACCTTGCTGCTGCTGGCTGCAGTTGGCACGTTTTTGGCCGTTTTCTTTTCGGTGCAGGGCAAGAAGGCCTCTCCTGAGCCTGAACCTGAAAATGGTTACTTCAAGGCAGCGGTGGCAGCAGATGCTGGGACGTGCTCAGAGATCGGCAGGTTTGAGCTCTGTTCTCTCGAAATGCACATTCACTTTTTGCCATCTATGACCTGTAGTTTTTGTGCAATTGAAATAAAATGAATCCATTAAGACCCCTTTACATCAGAATTTATATTTTTGTAAATAAACAGCAAAGATGTAAGGAAGGCCATATGAAGAGCACACCTAAATGTTTGTTAGGTAACCTATTTTTCTGTGGAAAGCCAACCAAGATAAAATGTAAAAATGTTTTGTCAGGTAACTTAAAAATGTGCTGCATGAAGTGAAATCCACTTTAATTGGTTTTATGTAAGTGAAAACTATTATTTAATACCGCTGAATCAAACTGAGCACACCAATGATCATCATTTTAAAGGTCACATCTAGTAGAAATAGATCCTTAAGACACGACACCAGAGGTGAAAAAATATTAATTAATATGTATCATCATACTTCCCAATTGATTAATGTGAAGTAAATATGCAAATTAGGCATCACCTAATTAAATAGGCGTTCATTTGCATACATTTCCAGAACAGAAATCTGAACACTGGAAAAAGCCAGGATCAAAATTCTTGTTTCATTTTGTAGGCATATTAGTTGAAGGTTTTTACAGAGGAGATTTTGGATATCTCTTTTTACCACTCCATAAATCAGAAAATATTGTCATGATCCAGGAATAAAGGAATGAAATGTTTTATAAATCAGGTGAATGATATATGAACAAATCCCTCTGTAAAAACATTAGGAATATAGATCTCAGATTTGTGCAACAGAAAAAAAAACTTTGGAGATGTACTGTAATTAAAATCTACAGATGCTAATGATAAAGATAAATTGTAATAAAATGAAAACACATATTGCACTTTTTTGTCAATGCATAATATATTTGTAGTATATTTGTACTCTTTTTTTAGTTGGTGCATTCTGATATTTAAAATGATATATCCAGGTTTGCATGGCAAATGCCCTCTCTGTGTGTCCTCCAGGGATATCCTGAAGAGAGGTGGTTCCGCTGTAGATTCTGCCATTGCTTCT